TAAGTTTTTTTTTTTTTTGTCAAGCATTAATCTTAGGCTTCTTAGCAAAAAATATATATTTTTTTATTTTTTGGGACTGCAAAAAATTCAACCTTGGGTACCTTCTCAAAGAATAGTGGTGATAGATAGCCAATATCCAAAATTGTCATTGCAAATTCATCTGACCGGAAAGACAGTCTGTATACATTCACGAGCTGCTAAATTTGACCCACAAGCGTGGCCTTAATCAGGGTGCATCCTGTTCTAGGGAGGACCTTGTCTTTTTTTTTCTTTTTTCTTTTTTTTCTTTTTTTTTTAAGAAAAAGACCTTGTCAGTGCTGGTGGATATGGCGATGGATGTGGTCGTGGGACGGGAGGGAGGAAGACATGCGTTCGATGGCTGGTCGGGCAGTTGCATAACTTGCATTCGGCGTTACAATAGAGATAGTAAATGAATATAAAAGCACGTCCTGTCCAGATGCAGATGCGACAGGTAATTGAATTGCTTATGCTTAAAAGGATTAGTTTTAGGGAAAAAAAAAAAAAAAAACACCATAGCAACAGAAAATAGGGATAGGAAGAGTATCGGCCAGGGGTTATTAACACAAATAAAGTCGTAGTCGAATAGGAATAGGAATAGGGATAGGAAGAGGAAGAGAAAGAGCTTTCTTCAACAAAAAAAAAAAAAAAAAAAAAGGAACAGGACTACCGTCTTCACCGGAATAGAACGCCCGGTCATTATAGCAGAGCTGTATTTGGCACACCTTTCAGCCCAGATACGGCGATAATTCTATTCGGGTTAAGACGGTAGGAATAGGAATAGGAATAGGAATAGCATTGCAGAGCTGTATTTGGCACACCTTTCAGCTCAGATACGGCGATAATTACCGGACGTTCTATTCGGGTTAAGACGGTAGGAATAGGAATAGGAATAGGAATACTGTAGCAGCAATAGCAATAGTCGCCGCAGGAGGGCAGAGGAGATATGGAATACTATAGGACTTCAACAAAAATAAAGGAAGGGTGAGAGTCGTTTCGACAGCAGCCGTTTTTGAATCGTGGCCGTTCGTTTCGCGAGTTCATCTTTCTTTGCTACCCCCTTTTACTTACACTACCCTCCTAGCATACCCCCCCCCCCCCCCCCCCCCCCCCTTCAACTACCGGTAGCATAGCAGCAGAAGCACAGAAGCAGCAGTTTGTGCACTGAATTGCATTGCCACCTGCTGGTACCGACTTCCCGCGAATAGAGAGCGCATTGTACGGTCGTTATCGCACAGTACATAGACCGAAAATTGGCCTGAATACAGAGCTATACGGACCGTACAGTGTGCGTTAAATGCACCTGTAATAAGACGAAGGAGGTCATCCGTTGCAACGTGTGCGCGTCTCATATGGCAACGACACAGGGGGAGGATCATGCAAAGGTATTCTCCGCGAAGTTTCAGCGAATCGTCGCTGAGGCTTCAGCCTGAAGAAGAGATGGGCCCTCGCTGCACTAGACAGCAAGCAGGTCTGAGGTCGATGGACGATTTACTATGGTAATCTCGATGTTCATCGAATCTGGACAAGGACAAATTTCCCACGTGTACCCACCACGTGGTCACGTGGCCAAAGAACGGCCACGTTATTTTATTTTTATTTTTTTTGACGACAACAAAATTCATTTTAATTTTTAAAATAAAAAATAAAAATTCGGCTGCATTCCCTCATCCCGGGGCCGAGGTCCCACTAGCAAAGAGGATCGGATCGAATGCCAGAATCTGGATGTGTTTTATGCAGAGATGCAGAAAAGCAGCTCAATCTCGATTTCCTGCACCTCTCTACAAACACGTCCAGATGCAGGCATTCGATCCGATCCTCTTTGCTAGTGGGACCACGCCCCGAGGGACAGCCATATGTTTTTTCTCAGCTCACTTTTTTTTTTTTCTAACTGGCGTTCTGCAAGCCACGAGGTTTTAAGATCTTCCCGAAAAAAAAAAAAAAAAAA